TCTGGCTCGATTATTAATCTAATAAATTGGCATTAGGCACCTAAACACACATCCTGGAAAAAATCCATCAGATGTGTGTTGTTGTGGTGTGTGTGTGTGTGTGTTTGGTGTGTGTGGGTGTGTGTGTGTGTGTGTGTGTGTGTTTATGATGTTGCTAAGCAACAGCTATTAGATATGGCACTTTGGGCTGCTCCACCTTTGATCCACACATCACATCAGACAACTGCTCTTCCTTTCATCCCTCCATCTCTCCCTCTGCTCTCATCCCATAATTTCATTTCGCCTCCCTCTATTCTCTGGCCTCTGATCTGGGGCTGTGGAAATATGCACACCGTGGGTCACAGGGGCGACGGACACACCGAACCAAACCAAACTGACACACTGGCGTCTCGTGCTGTGGAAGTAGAGTCAGGTGATGAGTGTTAAGAATAAATGTTTATGACACATGAAAAAAAAATAAAATAAATAAATATATATATATATATATAAAGTTCACATTTTCCATGAAAAGCCTATAATATCTTAAAATGTGATAATTGACCCCACATGAGTGGCCTTCTATTGGGCCAACATGTGTTAGATGACCAGTATTTTTACTCCTAGACAACAATAATATTCAATATGCATACAATGTATGTTTACTTTATCAACACAGTAAAAGTTTAATCCACTCAATAACATCATTCATAAAGCTCCGTCCGTTTGGAACATGGAAAGGAACAATATGTTTTGTTTCGATGTCGAGAAATCACAACTCATCACGGCTTCACGAGTGTCAATCACTCAGCACATCTGTCCGTCTTCTTCCGTCTGGCCAATGGGGTGGCGCGGTGGGCGGGCTCAGTCCGGGGGGGCGGAGTCTGTCGATGGCCACGGGAAGCGCAGCTGCATGAACGATCTCGCCGAAGCTGCATCCGTGTTTTTCAGCCGCGATCCCCCCCCTGCGAGCGCCGCTGACGGAACACCCCCGCGGGGAGGCGAGAGAGAGAGGACTGCGGGGCCGCGGAGGTGCGGCGAAGAGCCAGGCCAGGAAAGGACGTCCGAGTCCGGTTTGATGCTGGCGGCCCGTCCGCCCTTTAAACACGGATGCTGCTGCTGCTGCTGCATTCATAAGGGATCGCTGTTTATCCGAGAACCCATCGGACGCGTCAACGTCCCCCGGTTTCACATTCCAAGCCGATCGGTAGACACCAATCAAGCGCGACAGCATCCCTCCCTAACGTTACCTGCGGCTCTCCAGCGCCTGACAGGCCCAGAGTCATGGGCAACACGCCGGCCGCCAAACGGGACAACGAGATGGAAAGCGGTGGGTGTCTTTAACGCTTCCCAGTCATTCTGTTTAGTCATCATCTTCATCTTCGATCATCCTCAGATGCTCATCGGGAATACGGTCGTGCATGTGCGAGGCTTCAGAGGCTTCAGGCTGATGCTGTCATGGCGATCACAGGCTCAAACAATGTGTTGATGCTTTAATAAGAGCGAGCAGCGCTTCGTTTGAGGGTTGCACCCTGTATATAACATGCCAAAGATGGTTGTTAGATTAAAAAAGGGTCTATTTATGTATGTCTGCTGGGTCTGGAGAAGGACAGATGTGTAGAAGGTCTGAAGCAAACAGCAAGAACCAAAACCTGCATGCTGAGATCTAATAGGAAGAATAAATATGGCAATTTAACAATCTGTCATTGAAAACAACCTTATTATTTGACCACTATGTGTCCTCCTCCTGTGTTAAGACTGTGTCTTAAGAACTAGTTTGACCAACTAGTTGTTAGCCAAGAGTTATCAGACTTACCTTTTGGATTCAAATGAGACCATTCTCCCTTTTTATAACTGACTTTAAGAAATTATGACCAGTCTTAAAGAGAAAAAATTAGATGACTAACTTTTTAAGTCTAGTCTAAGCGGTTTATGCAACCGGCCCCTGTGGAGTTGTTTAACCCAGGCTTAAGTAATCCACGTTTCACATTGCTAACATACTAATCCTGTTTTAATAATTAGGTTGTCAAGTTTTGCGATTTCATGCTTTGCACGTGAAAGTCCCAGGTTTATTTTTTATATTTACAGTGTTTCATTCATTTGAAGGAGTTGCAAGCTGTTTTAATAACATTTAGGTTAAAATTACTGCAGTTAATGCTAGTCCATCACAGTTTGACTTTTGAGTCTTTCTCTTCTGGAAAACAAAGCAAAACTATTGACACCGTCGTGTGCTCTGGAAGGATCAAATCATGGCTCACAGACGTTATGTAAACCACTGGCTACTGGTGCTCATGTTAATAAATAAATATTAGAAAAGTCCTTTGATATATCCCACCCAACCTTCCTGTTTAAGTATGAAGTGTGTCAAAACAGGAACAAAAACTGCTCACGGTCTTGAACCGTTTCCCTCAACTGCTGGCGCTTGAAAGTTTCTGTGACTGTACAAAACGTTTGCATGTTTAATGTGGCAAGATATCTTTAGATTACGATTGGTTTGTCTGTTGCAAAACAGCTCAATGTAACGTATACCAGCGAAAAATCGGTGTTAACCCCCTTTAAAAATGCATGAAACATTGCTTAACTCAAGAGTTAAAAGTGGCCTTAATGTGGGGTTTCAACTTTATTTGCATGCAAGTTACATTACACTCTAAAAAATGCTGGCATGTTTCAACCCAACTTTGGGTCAAATATGGACTAACCCAACTTTTTAGTCCATATTTGACCCAAAGTTGGGTTTAAACAACCCAGCATTTTTTAGTGTATATACATCACATTAAAGCAATAAGCCCCAAGAAGCTGTGGTTTACAGTGAATTTATTGATTGCAATGCAAAATGTGAAGTATATTATCGCTCAGCTGTCAAATGTGACTATAAGCCATGAAGATATTAAGATACTATAAACATGGACATCATGATTTTCTGTAAAGCTGCATTGATACGATGTGAATTGTGCAAAGTGCTATATAAATAAGTTTGTCGTTGAGTGTAGTGAGAAAAACACCAGCGTGACCCTTCCCCGCTGTGGGTTTGTTGTGCAGCTCCCTTGAAAATTGTCTTTCTTTTTGCTTGCTTTCTATTTTTTCTTCACTGAATTTGTGGGAAAATTTGCGGAATGGATTTGAAAATGCTGAAATGTGTTGAACGGAGCTGAGATGCTGCACTCTTATTGGAAGCTGAAGGCATCATGAAATGCAACAAAACATTGACGTGTAGAACTTTTTGCACTCCTGTGTGGCATGTTATCATGTTTTCCCCTGTTATGCCTGACATATGAAATCATTTTTGTAATGGAACAGTTTATTGAACCTTAAGACAATATATATAACAAAAAGTCTAAAAAAAGGTTTGCATATGCGTTTTTTGTTGAATATCAAATTTGACACATCAGGCTTTTATGGCTCATATAGAATATGGAGTGAAAAAAATACCTAAATTTTACTCGGAGGCCCAAACTGAGCAAAAATATGCAATT